ATAATCCACATTATCTGTTTTGAACTGGATTATATGAATCTACACTGCCATGTAATACTGTTCAAAGCAGATAATCTGCATTTTATATGGCCGTGTGAAAGGCGCCTCAGAGGAAGGCAATGGCAATCCACTTAGGAACAAATCTTGTGATAGTCTTTGCCTTAGGGTCTCCAAAGATGGGAAAGAACGAGGGGCATAACTGCAAGTAGATAGATGTACACAAGATAGAGGGGTCCCCAAACTAAGGCCCGTGGGCCGGATGCGGCCCTCCAATGTCATTTATCTGGCCCCTGCCCTAAACTTTAGACTTAGGTTTGCCCTAAGTCTGAAATTACTTGAAGGCACACATCAACAATCCTAATTAACTTGATTATTTCATCATCCAAAAGTAGGCCCACACTTCCCATTGAAAGATAAGGTTATGTTGGTGAAAATGGGAATATTGTTCTTCATTTAAAATACTGTTTCTTCATTTTAAATACTGTTTCCTCAACTTAAATACATTTTAAATACTGTTTCCTCAGCCTGTTGGCCCCTGGGCTGGACTAACAACAACATGTTTGAAAAAACATGAATGCATTCCTATTTGTAGTGCAAAAACCCCACGAAAGAACAATATAATATATAAAATGAACATTTTAAACTAACATAAACGTGCCAGTCTTTCATTGATTTTTTTTGGTGTGTGTTATAAGTAAGATATGTGCAGTGTGTATAGGAATCAGTTCATTTTTTTCCCCAAACTATAGTTCGGTCCCCCAATAGTCTGAGGAACCATGAACTGGCCCCCCATTAAAAAAGTTTAAAGATCCCTGAGATCACTTGGTCATAAGAATCCCTTGGGTGATGTTGGGCAAGTCACACTTTCAGAGGAAAGCAAAGGTAAATCTCTTCTGATCAAGCCTTGCTAAGGAAATCCTGTGATTGGTTCACTTTAGGATTGCCATGGGTCTGAAAGGACTTGAAACCGCAAAACAACAACTAGGTATGTGTAGAGTGAAAGACAATTAAGTGATATGCAGACACACACACAAATGCACACGCTCTTACACAGACACATGCATGCATACAGCTATTCTGACCCCTTAGGGCAGTGACCCCTTAGGGAGCCCCCAGTGGCACAGTGGGTTAAACTCCTGTGCCAGCAGGACTGAAGACCGACAGGTCGCAGGATCAAATCCGGGGAGACTGTGGATGAGCTTCCTCTGTCAGCTCCAGCTCCTCATGCGGGGACATGAGAGAAGCCTCCCACAAGGATGATAAAACATCAAAACATCTGGGTGTCCCCTGGGCAACGTCCTTGCAGACGGCCAATTCTCTCACACCAGAAGTGACTTGCAGTTTCTCAAGTCACCCCTGACATGACAAAAAAAGGTGGGGGGGGGGGGCAGTGATGTCCCAACTTTTTAAGCCTTTGGCCAGTTCACGGTTCCTCAGCCTGTTGGGGGGCCAGACTATAGTTCGAAAAAACATGAATGCATTCCTATTTGTAGTGCAAAACCCCCACAAAAGAACAATATAATATATAAAATGAACATTTTTAACCAACATAAACGTGCCAGTCTTTCAGTGGGAAGTGTGGGCCTAGTTTTGGCTGATGAAAGAGTCAAGTTAATTAGGACTGTTGTTGTGTGACTTCCAAGTCGTTTCAGACACCGGCATATGCTGCCTGTGTCTGGTGGAGTCTCCTTCTCTGGAGGGTTTTCAACAGAGGTGGCATGGCCATCTGTCGGGAGGGCCTTGATTGTGACAGGAGGGCTTATACAGTAATTGCTGCCTGGCTCTTATCTTTATTTCCCATGGGAGGAGCTGGACAACTGGGGAGTCTTCCTTTTGCAAAAATAAATAAATAAAAAGTTGTAGGGGAAGAGAGAGTGAGAGAAAGAAGGGGACACTGGGACTGGGTGCTCAAGGCTGGAGCCACCCAAGGAAAAGTCGACACTTATAGTCTGGACCCCAACAGGTTGAGGGACCGTGAACTGGCAGTCGGCCCTGCTCTAAGGTGTCAGGAGAACTGTATGCATGCATGTGTGTTTGTGTGTCTGCATATCTCTTATTTGTTTTTCTTATTTGTTTGTCATTTTGTGCATTCAAGTCATTTCCAACCCATGGCAACCCTAAGGTGAACCAATAAGCCAGCCTCTCTCTTTCTCTCCTTTCGAGGAGGCTGCCTTTTTGGGGGCGCTAATCCCCAAAAAGGAACAAACCGACAAAGAGAGGAAAGAAGTCAAGAAAGGGAGGGAGGGAGTCAAGGAAGAGAAGAAACAAGGAAAAAAGCAAGCAAGGGAAGCAAGAAGGCCTGGAGAGAGAGGGCTGATGGAAACTTGAACAGGGGCTACAATTGGCCCCTGGGCTGGACTAACAACAACAGCATTTATTTGTATTCTGCCCTATCTACCCAGGGGACTCAGGGCAGATTCCAGAATATATAGACACAGGCCAGGCCTGTAGCTGGGGAGGGAGGGGGTGGTGGTGGTGTTTAGGGGTTCAACCCCTCCCCAAATTATTCAGGTTAAAAAAAACTATTTTTTTGCTATTTTTAGCCTTACTAACCTTGCATACCTTGTATCTTATACCTTTTACGGAGCAATAAGGGTCTTTGGACTGTATTAAAAATGTTGTGTTATCGAACTACTCTTCATGATTTGCTAAAAAAGGTTTCAACCCCCCCCCCCCCCCGAATTTTTTTTCTGGCTATGGTCCTGAAACATTCAGTGCCTCAAAACAATGAAACACAGACATACAGTTAAAGGTAAAGGCTTCTCTATTTCTAAGCCGAAGAGTAGGTGTTGTCTCTAGACACCTCCTACCTCATGTGGCCGGCATGACTGCATGGAGTACCCTTTACCTTCCCGCCAAGTCAGTACTTATTGATCTACACTAGTGGTTCTCAACCTGGGGGACGGGACTCCTAGAGGGGTCACGAGGGAATGTCAGAGGGGTCACTAAAGACCACCAGAAAACACAGTAATTTCTGTTGGTCATGGGGGCTCTGTGTGAGAAGTTTGGACCACTTCTGTCATTGGTGGGGTTCAGAATGATCTTTGATTGTAGGTGAACTACAAATCCCAGCAACTACAACTCCCAAAATGTCAAGGACTATTTCCCCCAAACTCCACCAGTGTTCACATTTGAGCATGTTGAGTATTCGTGCCAAGTTTGGTCCAGATCCATCATCGTTTGAGTCTACAGTGCTCTCTGGATGTAGGCGAACTACAACTCCAAAACTCAAGGTCAATGCCCACCAAACCCTTCCAATATTTTCTGTTTGCCATGGGAGTTCTGTGTGCCAAGTTTGGTTCAATTCCATTGTTGGTAGAGTTCAGAATGCTCTTTGATTGCTGGTGAACTACAAATCCCAGCAACTACAACTCCCAAATGACAAAATCAACCCCCATCCCACCAGTATTCAAATTTGGACATATCGGGTATTTGTGCCAAATTTGGTCTAGTGAATGAAAATACATCCTGCGTATGAGATATTTACATTACAGCTGTGTACAAGGGGCCTCAGAATTGCCCCTCTTCCTTCCTATGAGCCTTTCCTTCATTGCACATTACACATCATACCTAAGCAGAAAAACTGATAACAAAAAAGGGAAAGAAATCCTAACTCAAGAAAAAAAGAAAAGAAAACAAGGCTAAGTGGTGGGAAGCCTCTTTCCTGGTTGGGAGAAGACCTGGCATTGTCAAGCTCAATGGTGGTGCCTTTCTCTTTTTTCTCCATCCACACGCCTCTCTGGCCTCTTCCTGTGCCTTCTTCACCTTCTCTTTCTCCTTCTCTTCCTTCTCCTCATTCTCTTCCTTCTCTTTCTCCCCCTTAGAATCATAGAATCATAGAATCAAAGAGTTGGAAGAGACCTCATGGGCATCCAGTCCAACCCCCTGCCAAGAAGCAGGAATATTGCATTCAAAGCACCCCTGACAGATGGCCATCCAGCCTCTGTTTAAAAGCTTCCAAAGAAGGAGCCTCCACCACACTCCGGGGCAGAGAGTTCCACTGCTGAACGGCTCTCACAGTCAGGAAGTTCTTCCTAGTGTTCAGATGGAATCTCCTTTCTTGTAGTTTGAAGCCATTGTTCCGTTGCGTCCTAGTCTCCAGGGAGCAGAAAACAAGCTTGCTCCCTCCTCCCTGTGGCTTCCTCTCACATATTCTCTTTATTTCTTCTCCTCTTCTCCTTCTTTACTTCTTTCTCCTTTTCTTCTCCTTCTCTCCTCCTCCTCCTCCTCCCTCCCTTCCCTCCTCCTTCTTCTCCTTTTCCTCCTCTCTTCTCTCCTTCTCCTTTTTATTCTCCTTCTCTTCTCTCCTTCTCTTCTCCTTCTCTTTCCTCTTCTCCTTTCTTCTTCTTCCTTCTCCTTTTTCTCCTTCTCTTCCTTCCTTCTTCTCCTTTCTCCTTCTCTTCCTTCTCTTCTCTTCCTCTCCTTCTTTCTTCTCTTTCTTTCCTTCTCTTTCTCTCCTTTTCCTTCTCTTCCTTCTTCTCCTTCTGCTTCTTTTCTCCTTCTGCTTCTTCTTCTCTCCTCCTTCCTCTTCTTCTTCTCTTTCCTTCTCCTTCTCCTTCTCCTTTTTCTTCCTTCTTTTCCTCTCCTCTTTCTTCCCCTTTTCTTCCTTCTCCTCTTCTTCTCCTTTCCCTTCTGCTTTCCCTTCCCTTCCTTCTTCTTCTCATTCTCTTCCTTCTCCTTCTTCTTGGAGGTGCTTTGCAACCTTTTGAACCAGCAATCCGTCGTCGTCCTCCTCCTCGTGCCAATCCGCCCTTTCCCTGCAGCTCTCCTCGCTCCCGTCTCCCTTCTTTCCTTCCTCCCTTCCTGGGCTCTCCTGTTGAACGGCTCCTTCTCGCCTTCGGTCTCTGCGATGCAGCCTCTGCCGGCTGCCAACTCCTCTCCGGGAGCCCCCCTCCCTCCCTCCCGAATGCAGTTTGCACGCGCGACACAGGCAAAGAGAGAGAGAGAGGCGCACACACACACACACGGGAGGGAGGAGGGAGGAGGGAGGGCGAGCCTGGCAGCGCGGCAGAGGGGCGAGCCGGAGGGAGCCATGAGGAGCATCATCGCCGTCGCTGCTGCTGCTCCCGCCGCCGCTGGGGTCCACGGGTGCCACAGCAGCAGCAGCTGCCGCCCCTCCGCCGTCCCACCCGGATCCCCGCCACGCCGAGCCCTCCTGCCCCTCCGCGGTTCTTCCCCGCACCGATCCCCCTGCATCCCGCGGGTAAGAGCACCGCCATCCGCTTTCCCTGCCACAAACCACATTGCACCCCCCCCCCCAATCCCTTCCTCCGCCTCCTCCTCCTCCTTTCCCCTTCCCTTCCTTTACCTGGTGGAGCTCACGCCTTCCAATCCCTGACTGAGTCCCCGTGGGGCATCCTTTCCCCACAGACGTGCCCTTTCCACCTATTAACTTCTTTCTTTTGAAAACATATTTTCCTTCTCTGCCTTCCTCTTGCTTTTTTCCATCCCAGGCTTGGGGTAGGTGGGTGTTGGGTTGCTGTGAGTTTTTCATGGTCCCGTAGCATTCTCTCCTGACATTTCGCCCACATCGATGGCAGGCATCCCCTGCGTTTGTGAGGTCTGTTGGAAACTAGGCAAGTGAGAATGTATTGTCAAAAGGTTTTCATGGCCGGAATCACTGGGTTGTTGTAGGTTTTCTGGGCTGAATGTCCATGGTCCCGTAGCATTCTCTCCTGACGTTTCGCCTGCATCTATGGCAGGCAACCTTTGGGGATGCCTGCCATAGATGTAGTTGAAACGTCAGGAGAGAATGCTTCGGGAACATGGTCATAACAACAACCTAGACAAGTGAGGTTTATATATTTGTGGAAAGCTGTCCAGGGTGGGAGAAAGAACTCTTGTTTGTTTGACGCAAATGCAAATGTTGCAATTGGCCACCTTGGTTAGCATTGAATGGCCTTGCAGCTTCAAAGCCTGGCTGCTTCTTCATTCCACAGACATGTAAACCCCACTTGCCTAGTTTCCAATGGTCCTCACAACCTTTGGGGATGCCTGCCATAGATGCAGGAGAAACGTCAGGAGAAAATGCTTTGGGAACATGTCCATACAGCCCGAAAAACCTACAACAACTTAGGCAAGTGAGGTTTATGTATCTGTGGAACTGTGTCCAGGGTGGGAGAAAGAACCCTTGTTTGTTTGAGGCAAGTGTGAATGTTGCAATTGGCACTGAATGGCCTTGCAGCTTCAAAGCCTGGCTTCTTCATTCCACAGACATATAAACCTCATTTTCCTAGTTTCCAACAGACCTCACAACCTCTGAGGATTGCCATAGATGTGGGTGAAACGTCAGGAGTGAATGCTTTGGGAACATGGCCACATAGCCCGGAAAATTCACAACAACCCACAACCTCTGAGGATGCCTGCCATAGATGCAGGTGAAACCTCAGGAGAGAACGCTTCTGGAACATGGTCACACAGCCTGGAAAACTCACAACAACCCACAACCTCAGAGGATGCCTGCCATAGATGTGGGCGAAATGTCAGGAGAGAATGCTTCTGGAATATGGCCATACAGCCCAGAAAAATCACAACAACCCATTGATTCCGGCCATGAAAGCCTTCAACAATACATAGATGGGTGCTGCTTTGTTGTTGTTCTTGTTGTTGTTGTTAAAACCCAATTGTTTCTGCCCCACTGGTGTCCGGAGGTGCATTTCTCTCCCCTCCCCCTCCCACTTTATCTGAAGGTTTTCCCAATCTTGGGGAGGAGGAAGAGGAATAGGAAAGTTTCTGGTTCCTTGGCAAGAGTTCTGTCTTCCTTTCCCTCCAATTCCTTTCTTTTGGGGCTTTTCTTGCAGGAGAGAGAAAGCTCCCTCTTTCCAGGCACCCTTAAAACAACAAGCTTTGCCCAATTTAGGACTTTCCGCCCCTTGCAGGTGGAAATGGATCACTGCCATCTCTTCCACTGACCCATTGCAATCCTATCCCTGGCTTCTCTTGGCAAGATTGGTTCGGAACACGTTTGCCGAGGCTGAGAGAGTGTGACCTCATCTCTTATTCCCCCACCTTTACATGTTCCTTATGGCTCCTTCCTATATAAAGCAAGTCCTTTTTGCTTTTCCAGCAGTCCGCAGCTCCATAAAGCCTAGCCAGAGCAAACCTTCATTGAAAGACTAGGTTGCTGTGTGTTTTCCAGGCTGTATGGCCATGTTGTAATTTTAATCAATATGTATTTTAACTCATTATTATATGGTGTTTATAGATTGTACTATTGAATCCTTGCTATAAGCTGGTCTGAGTCCCTCTACAGAGGTTGAGAAGATCGGGATATAAAAGTTTTAAATAAATAAATAAATAAATAAATAAATGTTCCAGAAGCATTCTCCCCTGATGTTTCACCCACATCTATGGCAGGCATCCCAACCTCTGTGGATGCTTGCCATAGATGTGGGCAAAACGTCAGGGGAGAATGCTTCTGGAACATAGCCATACAGCCTGGAAAACTCACAGTAATCCAATGATGTTTCACCCACATCTATAGCAGGCATCCTCAAAGGTTGGAGGTCTGTTGGAAACTAGGCAAATGGGGTTTATATATCTGTGGAATGTCCAGGGTGAGAGAAAGGACTCTGGCCTGCTTGGGGCAAGTGTGAATGTTGCAATCGACCACCTTGTTTAGCATTTAATTGCCTTGTAGCTTCAAAGCCTGGCTGATTGCTGCTGGGGAATACTTTGTTGGAAGGTGTTAGCTGGCCCTGATAGATTCTGGTCTGGAATTCCCCTGCTTTTTTAGTGTTCTTTATTTACTGTCCTGATTTTAGAGGGTTTTAAAAAAACCCTCTAACAACTACCATATCAGACTACACAGAGAAGCCATTGAAACACTTTCAGCAGAAAGGAGGAAACCATGAAAATGAACAAAATCTGGCTACCAGTATTAAAAAACTTTAAAATCAGGACAGTAAATAATGAGAAACACTTAAAAAGGGGGGCGGGATTCCAGACAAGAATCAATCAGGCCCAGTTAACACCTCCCAACAAAGGATTCCTCCCACCCTGGACATTCTACGGATATAAGCCCCACTTGCCTAGTTTCCAACAGAACTCACAACCTCTGAGGATGCTTGCCATAGATGTGGGCAAAATGTCATGGGAGAATGCTTCTGGAACATAGGCATACAGCCTGGAAAACCCACAGTAACCCAATGATTCTGGCCATAAAAGCCTTCGGCGACTTAATTAAGAGAGTGGTTTCCCAGTTGCCCTTCCAAATCCTGGTTCATCTTTGCAGAAATCTTGGGTCCCATTATTCTTCAGCTGAATAAAATCCAACATTTTCTGCTTTGAACTGGATTATCTGGCAGTGTAGACTCAGATAACCCAGTTCAGATATTGTGGCATGTTTTGCCTTGATATTCTGGGTTATATGGCTGTGTGGAAGGGCCCTTGGTCTCTGTTTCCTTCCAGAAATGGGGCAAGGGACTCCTTGTGTCCCGAAGTGGTGTTCCTTGACTGTAATGCTTCTCTGATGATGTTGTTGTTTTGAATACTGTTTCTAATGTTCCGCTGTAAAAACCTGGCTAGTTTATAACTTCGGAACTGCCGCATTTCTTCTGACAATTGCAGCCTTTTTGCACACTGTTGTCTCGTCTCTCATCGTGTTGCCTTTCTCTTTTCTGTCTCTCCCTCCCTTCTCCCTTCCATCGCTACAGCAATGTGTGATCCTCCCCTGTCAAAGTGACCAGATTGACTGAGTCCTCTTTCTTCCCTTGCCCCATTGCATCTTCCCACCCATGTTCTCTCTCCTTCTCTCTCTCCCACTGGGAAGGACGGATCTGAGAAAAAAGAACAGCCAAGGAATACAACAGGAGATTGCTGAAGATCTCCAGAGAGGACCTTCGACTCCTTTTCATGTTACACAGATCTACCTGAACTAATTCGCCTGGCAATGAAGTGTGGTGTGCTACTTGCATCTGCTTTATCTTCTTTTGATCTCTGCCCACAACCTCTGGTATTTTCAGAGCAAAATCTTAATGAACTTGAATAAAGATGTGGATGTTTTTCGGCTGGGAATCCTCTAGCTACATCTGAGCTGGCTAACCTTCCCTTGAAAAGAGTGTGGATATTATTGTATGGGAAGTGATCAAAGCAGCACCCTTCTTTGTTGGGATAACACTCTCATATGCCTGCAGCAAAACTAGCTTGGATAGCCATGCCTTTGCTAGGGCCCTCCGATCCGCTGATTCTTGGCCGCAACTGAGCAAAGTAGCAGCTCGCCGATAGTCTTCCAAAGCATCCTTCTTTGGACAGTCCCTGGCTTTTGATGGTGACGACCTCTTTGTGAAAGTTTCATTCTCTCCCATCCCTGCAAGATGGCTGCAGGAGTGGCAGCGTGGCTGCCGTTTGCTCGAGCAGCGGCCGTGGGCTGGCTCCCACTGGCCAAGAAGCCCATGCCCAAGCCTCCTCCCGACAAGAAACGCCGTACTGATGAAATTTTGGTGGTCAATGTCAGTGGGAAGCGCTTCCAGACTTGGAAGAATACTTTGGACCGTTACCCTGATACCTTGCTAGGCAGCTCGGAGAAGGAATTCTTCTACGATGAAGACAGCACAGAGTACTTCTTCGATCGCGACCCAGAGATGTTCCGCCACATCCTCAACTTTTACCGCACGGGCCGGCTCCACTACCCCCGCCATGAGTGCATCCAGGCCTTCGATGAAGAGCTATCCTTCTACGGCATCATTCCAGAGCTCATTGGTGACTGCTGCTTGGAGGAGTATCGGGACCGCAAAAAAGAGAATGCGGAGCGTCTTGCGGAGGATGAAGAGGCCGAGATTGCCACCGACACAGGTTTGCCGCCAGACAGCACTTTCCGCCAACGGCTCTGGAGAGCATTCGAGAACCCCCACACCAGCACCATGGCTCTGGTCTTCTATTATGTGACTGGATTCTTCATTGCTGTGTCGGTCATTGCCAACGTGGTGGAGACTATCCCATGCCGGCCGCCTCCAGGGAAGAAGAGGAACCAGCCTTGTGGAGAACGTTTCCCCAATGCTTTCTTCTGCATGGACACCGCCTGTGTCCTCATCTTTACCTTTGAGTATCTCATGCGGCTCTTTGCAGCCCCGAGCCGATTCAAGTTCATGAAGAGTGTGATGAGCATCATTGATGTGGTGGCCATCATGCCATACTACATTGGGCTTGTGATGCCGGAAAATGAAAACGTTAGCGGGGCCTTTGTGACACTGAGGGTCTTCCGGGTCTTCCGTATCTTCAAGTTCTCCCGGCATTCGCAAGGACTGAGGATCCTGGGCTACACCCTCAAGAGCTGTGCCTCGGAGTTGGGCTTCCTCCTCTTCTCGCTCACCATGGCCATCATCATCTTTGCCACTGTAATGTTCTATGCTGAGAAGGGCACTGCGGAGACCAACTTCACCAGCATCCCCGCTGCCTTCTGGTACACAATTGTCACCATGACCACGCTTGGGTGAGTTGTGCACATTCACAACATGCTCCTATGAGGTTGAGCCTCTTCTCCTAATATTATTACTTGAGTCTCCTTTGCGCTACTCCCTAGATAACTTTCCCTTAAAGGAAAATGAATTCCATATTTTCTGATTTAACATAATATTTTCCCCACCCCACTGGCACCTTTGTTTCATCCATATTGAAAGTACACTGTGGCTGACATGCCCCATATAATGGTTAATGAGGGTATAAGAGTTTCTATAGAGGTGTAAGGTAGGGATGGGGACTCTGCGACCCTTTAGATCAGTGGTTCTCAACCTAGGGTCCCAAGATGTTTTTGGCCTACAATTCCCAGAAATCCCAGCCAGTTTATCAGCTGTTAGGATTTTTGGGAGCTGAAGGCCAAAACATCTGGGGACCCCAGGTTGAGAACCACTGCTTTAGATATTTGGGGTTTCAACTCCCAGAAGGCCCACCCAAATGCAATGGATTGTGGTAGTTGTAGTCCACAAAACATCTAGGGAGGCATCCAGGGAACACTTACTTAGGCGAGCCCTCATTGGCTGAGTAGGATAGTCTTCCAGGATCAATGTTCTGGTGGGTCCGTAGGTGACCGTGGAGCCCTATTCTTGATCTGCATCTTCTCCCGCAGTGAGAGCATTGGTTTTCAGGTGGAAGGCGGTCTCAATTGGGGTTGGCTTGACGTGCCTTCCTCTTGGCACATTTCTCTCTTTTGCCCTCCATTTGTGCCTCTTCAAATTCTGCAGCACTGCTGGTCACAGCTGACCGCCAGCTGGAGCGCTCAAGGGCCAGGGCTTCCCAGTTCTCACTAGGGAACACACTGTTCATGTGTTACATTAGACACTGTGATTTTCTCTTCCTTGCAACTGAAATCCCATGGATTGTGATTGTGGGCAAGCCTTGAAACCATACACAGGAAAGTAGGATCATGCTCAACTGGATCTCTCTTCTACTTAGGTTTACTTTAAAGGCAGGTCTCTGGAAAAGTAGCCCTGTTTACTTTATCCCCAGACTCCAAACTTCCATGAAGTGTGGGCAGCAGAATGGCACCACAAAAGAAAAATCCCACAAATCAGGATTTTTCTGAAAGTTTTTTGTAGGATCTTGAAGGAAGGAGGGCAAAACATATGGTGAGCCTTGGGGCGAAGTGGAAAGGCATCAAAAAGGAAGGCAGTGGAGATTGGAGTGGGCCATGTTAGTGGCAAGGGAGCAGGAGTTGCAATTACGAAAGTGGAGTCAAAAAGACAGAGTTTTTTGGGGAAGATTAATGGGAAGGAATGGAATGTTTTCCTAGGAAAGGGAAATTGCCTTTTGTCTCTAGTGTGAGTGATAACTTTACTCTGCACTTCCCAGAACAACATTTCCACCAGTGCGCTGTTCAGATCTTGTTTTTGGAAAGCATTCTGACATGCTTAGACAGCAAGCGTATACTGCGTAATTTTGTAGCACTGTGTTCAGCTTTTTGCTCTGGAATGCTGAATTCAAAAATAGTAATTATGGGATTGTATCATCCTAATACAAACCAAACTTTATGTGTGCATGGATGTGTACATATACACATGTCTGAGTTTCAGAAATTGTGTTATCGAAGGCTTTCATGGCCAGAATCACTAGGTTGCTGTGAGTTTTCTGGGCTGTATGGCCATGTTATGTATTTTTTATGTATTTTGCTTGTTTTATTGTGTTTGTGTTATAGCTTGCATTGTATTGATGGGCATGGCCTCATGTAAGCCGCACTGAGTCCCCCTGGGGGAGATGGAGCGGGGATAAATAAAGCTTTATTATTATTATTATGTTCCAGAAGCATTCTCTCCTGATATTTCACCCACATCTATGGCAGGCATCCTCAGAGGTTGTGAGGTTTGTTGGAGACTAGGCAAGTGGGTTTATAAATATGCAGAATGTCCAGGGTGGGAGAAAGAACAAAGGATTCCCCCAGGCAGGAAGCAGCCAAGCTTTGAAGCTGCAAGGCTATTCAATACTAATCAAGGTAACATTTCTCACTTGCCTCAAACAGACAAGAATTCTTTCAGCAACTTCAGAATTTGGTTTGTTTTAGAAGATCAAAGGATGGCCTCTCCTTTTGTTTGGATTCTGCTCATGCCATCCATGGCACTGGATTAAGAGTAGAAAAATGGTATCTCGTCTGATTTCTGCATCATATTTTAGTTAACAGAATATTGTAGGGTTACCCTGGGACTGTCCCCCGCCCATTATTTACTGTGTGATGTTGTTGATAGCACCATCAATTATATCCATTGATTTAATTTGATTTATGTCCTAGAGTCCTCCCTTGAATGTGGACCTTAGGTGTCTCACCACTGATTTAAAATGGCTAGAAATAAAAATACAATCAATTGCATTCTTAAAATAAAATTAAACCACCCAAATCAGTAAAACACAGGGTTAAAACTACTTTAGAAACACGATCTTTAGAAAATACAAAAAAATTGAAAGTACTGCACCCTACTCTCGAAAGCTTGGCATAAGATAAGTCCTTGTTCCAAAATGTTTACATTACTGTATACATGTAGATAGCAGAAAGAAGGGAGTAAAGGGCAAAATAAACAAGTGATTGACACAGGGCTGGAAGGATGCTGTGGAAGGCATAGTGTTTCAAGCTCGCAGTCAGTTGTTGTTTCTGTTGTTTTTGAAAGGATCTGTTGGAAGTTTTCGGCCGTGCCACTTGGGATTATTAGCAACAATATGTTTCTCACCTTTTAATAACAATCATTTGTGTCCATCATTTCCACAAGGTCTGAAATATGGATTCCCAGCTGAATCTGGATGTTTTATTGCCAGGGTGTTGTGGAACTCCGTGCTGTGTCAAAAGTTGGCGTGAATTACAATCTATTGGCTCCCATCTGGGAAAGGTCCTTAAAGTGTCCTGAGAGCATGGAAGGCTTTGAGTTCTATTTGTTTCTTACTCTTTCTTCTAGGGATGGTGTACATGATGGTTTCTCAATTTTATCCCTTCAACAACTCTAGGCTATGCCTAGTTAGATTGAGCACAGCTGGTTCTTCAAAAAGTTCTTCACATTCAAAGGCTCAAAATGCATTATTACAGCTTTTGAAGCGGATGGTTTTCTTCAACAGGCAAAAATGATTATCAAGTTGGCCCAAAGTGGTCTTTACTTTTTTTTCCTTATGTAATTTTGATGTTGTTGTTGTTGTTTGTTGTTTATGCTTTGATTTTATTGCTGTAATATATTGTCCGGGCTTGGCCCCATGTAAGCCGCTCCAAGTCCCTATTGCGGAGATGGTGGCGGGGTATAAATAAATATTATTATTATTATTATTATTATTATTATTATTATTATTATTTACTGTACACACACAGACTTTCAGGCTCAGGTTTGGGATGTAAGACCAACCAGCTTGGCTTGGAAGAAACTCAAAACAATCAGATGTGGAAGATGTGTGACAAAAAGTGAAGGCATATATAGCACAATTTAGTGTGTCTCGTAATATCTGTAGATGAGAAAGAGATGGAGTCTAAATTCTATAAAGGAAAGTCTGGGGTTGGCGCCACAGCACACCACATGGTGGAAAAATTTATTGTCCAGTTTGCTAAGTACCACCAGGTATTGATTTACCAGCCATACCATCTTGGCTACCATGTTCCTGTATCCGGGTCTGGAGAGCCAACAACTATCCTTCCCCTTCTTTATCCCTTAGTATTGCTCTAGCCCAGTGGTTCTCAACCTGAGGTCCCCAGATGTTTTTGGCCTACAATTCCCAGAAATCCTAACAGCTGGTAAACTGGCTGGTTTTTCTGGGAGTTGTAGGCCAAAAACATCTGGGGATCCCAGGTTGAGAACCACTGCAGCCAGCTATAACTCGAAAGGGTCCTTGTGCTTTTGTGCTCTCTCCACCTTTTCTTCAGCCCAGACCCTCCCTGAATAACAGAAGAATACACCTGGACATAGTGTTGAGCCTCCTTGTACAAGTAGGCTTGGCACCAATTTATTTATTTATTTATTTATTTATTTATTTATTTACAGTATTTATATTCTGCCCTTCTCACCCCGCAGGGGACTCAGGGCGGATTACAATGTACATATATATGGCAAACATTCAATGCCATAGACACACAACATATATAGTCAGACACAGAGGCAATTTACCTTTTTTTTTTCATGAGGGTATTCTGGCCACCAGGGGAGCTGTTGCTTCACCATCCATTTGTGATACTGATGAAATGCTTCCTCATTCTTTGCAGGCTTACTCAATATTTTTATGGCATTGTAAATTAGTTAAATTAGCCTCCCCATTTAAGCGGTACCTAAATTTCCTACTTGACAGATGCAACTGTCTTTCGGGCTGCAAAGGTCGACAGCAAGCTACACAAATTGGTCGGACACTCACTCCAACCCGGGCTGGTTTTGAACTCGCGACCTTTCGGTCAGTAGTGATCTTAATGCAGCTGACTCCCAGCCAGCTGCGCCACAGACCCAAAGGCTTCAGGACTGCAGGCTGGGAATCCCAGTAGTGACGCAATGTAGTTTGCATACATTTTGGTAGAAGGTTTAACTGAAAACCTGGGGTCTTGTGCAAATTCCCACTTTGACTGGTTCTGACTCTACATACTGATGGATGGCTATTCACCTTGCTTGCCCCTCTTCATACTTTTTTCCCTGCAATCAATTGCCTAGCAAGTCTTTGTCTTGTTCAATAGCATCCAACCTTGTTTGAACAGCATACCAGAAGTAGGCCGATATTAGTAGACTGAGGATTCCATTAGTCCTAACCAGAATGGCTAATGGGTAGACATGATGGGAACTGCAATCTAGTTGATATCCAGAGGGCCACAATTGCTCACCCCTGTTGCATAGTATCAAGCCTACTCAGACATTTCTCCCTACATGGAATAAAGCCCTGTTTCTTTTATTTATTTATTTTATTTACACCATTTCTACCCCGCCCTTCTCACCCCCGAGGGGGGACTCAGGGCGGCTAACACAGGCAGCAATTCGATGCCACAATATCAGTAACACA